ACATTTGGAACAAATCGACTAATTTACATTATCTCTACTAAAAATTGAGTAACAGTATGTGTAATTCGGCATCGACTTTAAATCGTGGAAGAAACAACATAACATAACAACACGCCTTTTATCCCCGAAGGGATAGGCTGAGGTGCACATTTCGCCACGGTATAGTGTAACACCCACTTTTCACTATTTATGTTCCCATGTAATAGGTGTGAGCCTGTGATCAATAATATGAGCCTATTGCCATATACCGGCCACAATTCCAGACTCCGTACTACTGAGATTATTTTAAAGAACCCAGTAATATGTTCCCCACTCGGGAATCGAAACCGAGACCCCTTGCCCGGAAATCGAACCCGAGACCCTTTGCCCGGCAGTCACACTTGCGACCACTCGGCCAAAAAGGCAGAAGAAATACTATGACAATATTATTACATATATTGTTTGTTAATAACAAATACAGTGATGACATTGACCATGGACATTTTCATTGTGCAAGCATTCAATAAAATATAACGACATCGGCTGAATCGAGATTCATAATTTTTTACATTGTCGGTCAGTTAACTTCTAAATTGCAGCGATTTGATCTCCATCAAATGTGAAGTCTGTTATTCCGGTCTTACATTGAGTATGGGAATAGTAGGGTTGGTGACAAATGCTGTCATGAAGTAACCATGTTCTGATTGCTGATTTATTCTAAAAAATGTAATAGCCACTTTTACTATTCAATCACCATATTATAATTGTTATTCTATTATTTCCACTATTGTGTAAATATGAATGTGGTGATTTACACAACAGTAAAATATAGGTACAGTCAAACAGATGTTTCACGAATTTTAAAACTTTTACTTAACAACAGATAAAAAAGGTTGAATTTTTTTCGGATTCGAGGCGCAATAAACTTATAATTTTGGCTAATGATTAAAAACAAATAAAAACATGTTTCAGGAAATTTGGCTACTTTACTTAACAAGATGAAATAGGGGTTTAAAGTTTGATGTATAATCAACTTCCTCAAGAAACAGCTAGTCATGTTACAATAGCCACAATTGTGATGAACTTACATTCTTACTGTATATTAAAATATACATAATGTATAATACTTGTACAGTAGCACATTGACATAGTACAAATATACCTAGTTAAATGATTGAAAAATAGAAGCATATCAAATAATATGGTATTCAATGGAGATTCACCACATGGCTGTTATATTGCTATAATGAGTTTAATTAACTTGTAATCAGACGTTGTCAGTTTTTTTATTTAACTATATTTATATTAAATCTGCCTGACTACCTCATTGGCCAAGTGGTTGCATGTACGACTGCCAGGTGTGAGGTCTCAGGTTTGATTCCTGGGTTGGGCAAGATAATTCTGGGTTTTTTACAAATCTTAGTATTAGCACAGAGTCTGGAAATGTGCCCGGTATATGGCAATAGATGCACCTCCTATTACATGGGAATCATAACATAAATAGTGAAAAGTCGATGTTACACTGTACAGTGACATTGGATGCCGTAATGTGCACCTTTGCCTACCCCTTTGGGGATAAAAGGTGTGATGTTATGTGTTATATTAAGTCAATATATCATTAAACTGTCAAACACCAAGCGGTCACCGGTGACCGCAACCTATTGTTCTATAATTGTATCTATAATGATGCCAATGATGGTACTCAACGAGTTAAACAAGTCATACATGACAGTACATTTATTTCAGTATTTAGATAAGAATGTAAGAAAATTATGTTCTACATACAGTTGTTATTGAACATGCTTGTCGGATGACAATTCTTTGTTTGTATATTAGACAAAGTAAATAAACATACCTACTATTATAATATAAATCATATGGGGATTAGCTGAAAGGTTATAACTGAAGACGTCCAGTCCATAGGAATATTCAATGCAAGTAAATGAAGAATATGATACTGCGATAACAAGACCTACTTTATGAAAGTGCATGAACACCTAATAAAAATAACATCATAAATACTTATTTACTACACCAATATTATTAAATACATGTGGAATGTATTTTTTATCCTTTATTACATATTTATCTAGCGCATGTAACCCTACATGTGCTTTGGCCGGAATTACTAAATCAATTTCACAATAATTGTGTTACTAATAATTTTGTAATATGCAACCAACTTGATTTTGATCCTACTAATTTTATTTTAATAATGATTGAGGCAGACACTAACTTGTGGTAATTTTAATCACCATTTTTGCTTGCTTATTTTAAGTTAATTTCAAACCACTACAAAGTGCTCATCACATATCAATTATTTAGCCTCATTTTTGTCACATTCAATGTGTGCCATGTTTTATACACATGCTTCACACATTTCACTTTAATATTATACACTGAGATAAAGTTTTAAGTACTAGAACAAAGTTACAAGTCTATTTGCGTTATTGGGTTTCATCAATTACGTACACTATACAGCAACTCAGAAGCAACCTCAATTGCAATATTCTTCATCTTAATTGCTACAAATACTTAAATTACGCACCATTCAGGTGTTATAATAATAAAAACACCATGCATGTTGTCATTGAACCAAAGAAGTCGCTGAATCACTTACCTGTGTGAACGTCGTCAAATGTGGATAAAACTCAGGTGCTTCAGGATTTAGAACAGAATTCATTTTACACAATTTGTAAATTATTTCGACAAAATAAAGAAAACAATATTATCTTTCCGTAAAAGCGAGCATGAGCCGTGCAGACGAGGCGAGCAACATAGATTAAATGAAATATGATGACCCAGGTTAACTCGACAGTTCGACTTTACATTGTGTGACTGAATGCAGTAGTGTGCACCACTTACGACAATGACTACGAAACCATAGAGTATATTAGCAGGAGACGAAATGTCAAAGACGTTGTGCTCTATGGTTTCGGTTAATGGTGAAAATACACTGCCGTGGCGTGGCGTGTCGTGGCGCGTATTGGTATGTCTATGTCGGAGGGTGATGTCATTGATGTATATCAATTAGATAGGAAATAGGTATCTACGGTAACATGTGCATTGTGCATACCTACACTTTTATAGTATTCGGTAATGGCAGATTGAACTACTGATGTTAACAGTTTAACAGTTCAACATTAGAAAAATATTGATATTTCTATTTCATATATTTATTCAAAGTCCTTTACAAATGATAAAGATTTTATTCAAATAAAAACTTAGTTAAATAAAATTAAATTATACACTACGTATAATTAGTTATAATATAAAAATAAGATTTCAAATATTAAAATATTATTTACAATATCTCTACGATAATTATTTACAAAATTTTTATTTATTAAATTTTTCATTCATTTTTGAATATTTAATTATTAAGAAGGAAAACAATTTCAAAATTTAAAATTGTTATTCTTTCCATTTATTTAAAATTCTCTAAAAATACTAGACTAAAAATGGAACGAAAAAATAATATTTTAAAACATAAATAAGAAACTAGGAGCCGACCAGTAACGAGAGCAAACTACATGTGGTTAGGGCTCCGGAGACAAAAATCTCCTCACAATGCGTGCCGTTTCTAGGAGAACTGCCTTCTGTATTAGGACGTTGATCAATCCGCCTAACGCCAGCCTCCTAAAATGGATGTCGAGTAGAGATTAACCTCGACCCCTCCACTTCGGTGGGATGTACAACCCCATGACCGACGAACGAGGGTGATGCATGCGGTTTGTAGTCAACAGTGCCCGGATACGCCTATCCAAGATGTCAAGTTCTATCTGAGTCCACCAAAAGCTTACATCATATCATCATCGTATGCCAAAAGATTACATCAGGGCCGGGATGATCCAGCCGTTAAGGCTCGCACATTATATCAGTACCTTATTTAGGCCAAAGAAGCGCTTCTGTAGCGATTGCTTCATGCTCGGTCCATTAATGCCTAATCCTTCTGACATACCCAGATACTTGTATGTATCATTTACGGAGAGTGATCACAGTTTAATATAATCTACGAGTTCAAGACCCTCAGACTCCACAAAAACCCCTTCTCATCGAGATTAAAACCTAGTGGCAAGGTTAAGGTTCGGACTCTTACTTTTATAGTATTTAGTATAGGCGTCAGCCCCAAAATACTACACACGAGTTTAAAGTCCCTCGACCTGCATACCTATCTTAACATACACTTTTACAAATAGCGGTCATAAAACACCTGTAGAATCGTCAGGAAGTTATTATCTGTATTATTATTATTATTTAGAATCCTCCCAGAATGCCTTTGACTAAAAGTTCAAAGTTAATGTGTGGATGTTTGTTAGGTACTAAATAATGTTGTGACTTGTGAGTATTAAATATCGTATAGCCTCTTGTCTGTTGAAAGTTGAGGGTGTAATGTGTTTTATACTGAAAGCCGGGGTTTCACCAAATAACAGGATATGATATAATAATATCCTGGAGTCACACACTCCAGGATTATAATATGAGATTCTATGAATTCCAAAATTCTATTTTGAATTTTTTGTAATGGTTCACAAATAATGCCCTAGGTGTTCGTAGGTATTTCAGGTCCCTGGGCCCTGGGTAGTGGTCAATATTTTTTCGGATAAAATAAGAATAGAAAAAAGGACGTAGTGACATAGTGACCGAATAAATAGTAACTACATGGGAAACTTTAGATTCATATAAACGTTGATTTTCGACATTGTCACTGTCAAACAGTGCCAGTGACGTTTGACATAAATAAATAAGAGGGTGATATGGTGGGTTGGGAAATCGGGGTGTCAGGGTGTTCTTGGGTGGAAAAAGAGGAGGAAAGTGCGTGGGCACTGTGATAATATTGAGGGAGTGAGGGGGTGATGTCGCATCTAGCCGCCTCCACCGCTAACGTGGACCGTGGTGCGATTGCGCATTGCAACATTGACTTGTTACGCAGCTCGGACTGTACCTGTTTTACATAAGTTAGCAAGGGACGGAGAATACTGTTCTCATCGAGCGACTTATATACAGAGTAGGTACGTATCATGTTGTCGATATTTTGTGGGATAGGCGAAGGATCGTCTGGATACACCTGTGTGTTTATCTGTTTGTGTGAATTTTATTTGCAAGTTTCCGTGCGTACTTTGTCCGTCACATGAATCAGCTCGTGCTTGAACGTTGTTATTCTTGTTTGACATGACTTTAGAAGATCCATTTTACGTCGTCAAAGAGTAAGTGGCAAAAACATGTTTTCATAGCTTGGTGAATGCAGTACTTCTCTTAACCACTCTATTAAATTGATAATTGCACTCATAAAAATTGTATGCTTTTTGCTCAGTTTTGAGTTGGTGCCCCAGACTCAATTTTGAACTCCTTTGTATATCTGTCTTTTAATTTTTAATCTGACAGTAATAATAATAATGGTTTGTACTATTTCCAATTTGTTTAGATAGATTAGTCAAATATTATTTAATGAACATTTTATTTTTCTCTGTGTTGTGCTGCATAAAACAAGATCTTGCATTTAGGTATTTTTATATTTGTCTCATTTTTTTAGTTTCATTATAAATATGTAGTAATTGTGTACTTATATAATAATACCACACACATTATTAGCATGTGCTATTATTTAAAAATTAAATTTTAATTAAACAATGTACCTACATAACAATATTCTATAAATATCTAGAAAACTAATTACCTAGATTTTATTTGATATATCAAAGAAATATTTTTTAAAAATTTTAGTCTAATGTCATTTGATATTTTAAGTGTTATGTTAGCATTCTGATATATCTGCATGTCATTATAGATTCATTTCCTGGAATATAATTATTTAGCTGATAAGCCTGACTTGAAGGTTGTATATTGAGTTAACATGTTGTCACACCTTAAAGAAAGTAGAGCAATCAATACAAGTGGCTTGAATGCATTAAATATTCATATTTCATATACCACGTTGAAGCTCACACGGGGCCGATAATGTCTTACTTTACCATCCTAGACGCTTCCAAGTAAAGGTTTCAATATGAATGTTTCAGTATCAATCATACAGGTGTTTAGATTCTCAGAACAACGTATTGGTACCTGTTGTTCTATGTCTACTGTTTGGTTGTGGTATTGTACATTTGAACATGTTTCAATGGCATAATAGCTAAGAAAAATATGTATTCCAGGGCTTTTGTTTTAATATACAAATATCTAAGCCAATATATTTATTTACTGCCTAACTACTGCCATATATTTTCACCTTCAGCCCAGCTGCTATTGATCACAGTGTGATGTTTTATAGCATATAGGTATCCTCGAAAAATGGACTATACAACACGAAAAAATAATAATTTCAAAGCAGTAGCTGCTAAAACTAATGTGTTCTAACATACACACATACATACATAAACTTTTTAGTTTTGGTATAGATATCTTTGGTAATAAAATAAGAAATTTTCTGAGTCTCGTTGAAATCTAAGCTGCCCCAAACCACGGGTTAACACATGACATATACATACACATGACATCCGGGCCCGGCCGACCAATTTGCATATCCTCATTGGGCTATTGAGTAGTTGGGACGACCCTACAGTTGGCGACACGAGAGAATAATAGCAAACACAATATCACTGGCTCGTGGTGAAAACGGCGTAACTGCAAAATATGTAACTTTTTATGAGGCACACGAAACTCCTGTGTAGTGCACTCTGTAGAATTGAGCTCTAACAGTAAACCAAATTTATAATCATGTACATCAGGGCTGTCCAAACAAAGGCCCGCGGGTCGCATGCGGCTCGCAGATTGTTTTCATGTGGCCCATAACACACATTTTAATCTCAACATCTTCATCTTATGTGTAACAACAATAATAAAATTTAGTGTATGGTTTTGTATGCAAGTTTTGTCTGTTAGTAAAGAATACAATGTTAAACGTCATTACGCACTTCAAAATATTTTCTGGCACACCAGCTTTTGTAAGAAATTTAATTACCCCACGAGGGTACATATTTTGGACAGCCCTGATCTACGTTAAAGTCTTATATGGTTTGCTTTAGAAATGAAATTTTACAAAAAAAATTGTCAACTAAAATTTTGCAGTGTTTTCACTGTAAGCCATTGATATGCGAACAAGAAAGATATTTGTAACCTAACAATGATAGAGAGGACTTTTCGACTTTTCTTTTAGGTTCAGGTTAGAATCATATTGCTATAAGTGAAGGCGAAATAGTACATCTATTATCACACGCACTCTTTCCACAAGTGTCCCAAGAGCTGCTTTAGAGACTACCTTTTTTTTTGAGGGGGGAAAATCATCCAATGACTTCTCCCGCCTGGGTGAGGGGGGAGGGAGTGTCAGACTCTTACTGACTGAAAACCACCCCGTTCCTACTCCTGCACTTCGAGCCGGAGCCCCGGCAACCCGTTAAGTCTTCCGCGGCTTCGTATCGGCATCAGCCCTGTTAGGCCCCATCTGTGATCTGATGGCTTATAGAGACTACCTACCTACTACTTTTCACCAAAACTGAAAATGTTGAATTTCTCTGTCGGACCCCTGGTTCGGACCCCTGGTTCGACCACTGGTAGTAGTTGAGTTGATACGAATAAAGAAATGAATGCAAGATCTCGTTATATGCAGCACAACATAAAAAAATCAAATAAGATAGGTATACAATTCCTTATTTTTATTATTGTAGTGTATAATCTAAAATTCTATGTCTTTAAATATTTACAACGATTGTATAAAAAGGATTATTTACCCTTTTTTTAAATTAAAATATTATATTTTTTTATAATCTTGTAGACGTTTACTGCTCCAAAGCTCCTTTGAATGCTCATGCACTAAACATTCGGAGTTGTATTTGACAAATACAGGGCGCCTTCTCTGATAAAACTGAATCTTTTAAATTGTGATCTGCAACTCATTTGCTAAAAGTGGACCTTACCTATGATGTCTCCTCTTAGGTCTTATGTAGAGTATGTTAAAAACTAAAAAGAATTAAGAAAGAAAATGTTAAATTCTATATTTAAACATTCTTCTTGCTTAAAACATTGTAATAATAAAACTATATTTGTATTTATAAATAAATATGAAGAGTGTATTATAAAGTGGTTGCATGTGTTATTATATTAACCTTTTTACCTAAAAGACCGAGTTTTAACGTGTCGCCACACCTCTGACGCAAAACCACTAATTCCGGGAAATCAATTAAGTAGTAGGCTATTTCTAATTCCTTTTTGTATTATTGTAATTGTTTGTTTGCCATAATAAATAAGATAAAATGTCATAGGAGTGTAGTACAAACTTAAAACACTTTTTATATATAGGTATATATATTCGATGGGCCGACTTGACCAATATTTCGCCTACTAGCGTTGCTGCGGTCTATGATCCATCATCTATATATCTATGATCATCGTGCTCCAGCACGTCATCCCATAAGCAAGCTATTCACTTTTCGTTACGACATATATTTTTATGTATTTCAGACTTTGGTGCACCCAGATCAAATCACTTCTAATTTTATTTAAAAAGTAAACAAAATAAAGTGATAAAAAGGGTTAATACGTTCTTCGGAAACTGAAACAAACCTGTTTAACTACAATTTTTTTTTATTTTGCAGTGAGGTGTTCAAAGCATTGAACAAAACACGCGGCCTATACCTCAGGTGGCAGGAGATTTCGAAGGCGCCAACTATACCCAACAGTCCTGAAGTGGAATGGACTTCAACGGAGTTGAGGAACGCTCTCCGTAGTATTGAATGGGACTTAGAGGATTTAGAAGATACTATCAATATCCTTTTTAATATTACGATTCATAATAAATACTTTTAAATACATGCTCATCATTTTGAAATCTAATTAGTTAATTCATGTTTTATTATAAAATTCTTCTAAAATAATTTCCTGAACGAAATATCCACGTATCGTAGAAAAAAATTCATCAAAATTTAAAATCGACAATAAAGAAATTTCGGAAAGACGGAGTTTTATAGAAGCTACGAAGCAAGAAGTGAAGGTAAGTTTGTTAAAACAGTCAATGTACCGAATATAAAGGACATGGAGTAATGTTGGGCCCACTTCTCAATAGAAATGATATACCTCGCTACGGATGGGTATTGTTATCTATATACTTATAATAAATCTGTAGAGAGGTCAATTCTGTACATAAAATATATTTAAAAAATAACTATCAAGGGGTGGTTAGAGATCGCTACTGATGCCAAAAATGCAATCAGTAAAATTTTTGTCTGTCTGTCTGTCTGTCTGTCTGTATGTTCGTTATGGAAACAAAAACTACTCGACGGACTTTAACGAAATTTGGCAGAATTATTCTTCATACTCTTGGGCAGGTTATAGTATACTTTTCATTACGCTACGATCAATAGGAGCAGAGCAGTGAAGGGAAATATTGGGAAAACGGGAGAAGTTATTCCATTTTTTAAGCTTCCGTCACGTGTGCAGGCTTAATAGTTAAAGCTACATAGAAATCATGTATGACGGAAATGTTCTACATAAAATTATCTAAATAATATCCCACAACAGCACATGTCTATCTTTTATGGTTGACGTATAATAACACGTGTAACTCCCGATAGCTTAGCGGTTCGGAGCTTTCTGCTTATATTTGTTTACTCTTACGTTTACAATACTCATCCATAGACTTTACGCTGTAACTGTAGGGCCGATGGCTGAAATTAGCTTGACTCGATATTATAAATGTGAAAATATGTGAGCTTATGTGTTTGTGTATGTTTGTTACTCAGTCATATTAAAACGACTGGAGGGACCGGAATGAAATTCGGAACAGAGGTAGAGTATGGTGTGAAGTAATACATTGGCATTTTTCCCCCTGGGATCGCGGGCGAAGCCGCTGGCAGAAGCTAGTGCAGAATAAAACTTCGTATTAAGATTGAGGTGAAGAGTCAGTGGTTTCGGAGTTAGAGTGCCTATATAATGTACTCAGTACTCAGTACTTAGATTGAAATAACTTAGGACGTCGTGCCTCCGAACATAGTAACATTTGACCGTAGGTGTGTTTGCAACTATTGTTTCATTTAAGAAGCCCTATACAACGGTGCACCACATGTTGCTATTGATGCGTGGGCCCAGACTCCATACATTTGGTTCGCTTTATCCTTTGTTTGTAGTGTTTACGGTAATGATCCATTAGTAATGGTTATCGAAAACTCTAGATTTAATAGTTGTAAGATAAATACCACACTTTATTTGGTATTTGTACTGAACATCAAAATTTTACTTAGTATCTAATCACTCGCCTTACACGACAGACAGACGTGTACTTAGGTAACAATGTTCTTGTTCAAGGTGATGAAAAGTAAAATGAGCCTGAACAGAAACCGAGACAACGATGGAACGGCGCGAGAACCGCTGCTGGGCGACGAAAGTCCAGTGCACAACATGAGCAATGTTTGGACGGCTACACCAAAATATACGAAATACTCGAAACTTGCCAACCAGACCGACAGTCCTAACCGGTTTGACTATGATAGTGATATCATGTCCATGCAGGAGAAGATGCTGACGAGTCAGAATGACCAGCTGCAAGTGATCAGCCACTCTGTGGGGTCATTGAAAACTGTTTCTAAACAGATTGGGATTGAACTCGACGAGCAGGCAGTGTAAGTACCTTTACCTGCATACATAAATATAATATTCATCGTGGTGGTACAGTGATAAAATAAAACAATGTAATTATTATCACCTAGTTGTGGACTCACTACTTAATTACGTGTTTCTTTTTACAGGATGTTAGACGATTTGAACACAGAACTTGAAAATGCTGATTCTAAACTAGATTCAACATTAAAGAAAGTTGCTAAGGTGCTCCATATGAATAACGGTGAGTTTTCAAAAAATCTTCTATGACTTCGTGTTCCAATTTGGATGTAGTAGTTAGTGGATCGTTGTATTGTGATGTACTCAGTTTCTGCCTGCATCTGACCAAGGTATGACGTTTGAACGTACCTACGTAGGTATAGGCATCAGGCTAATAGGGTAGATGCCTAATTTTTATTTTAATGTTCGTCTGGTAGATTATTTTAAATCATTAGTCACGTATTTTTTATTTTCTTACAGAAACGTTTCCTTTCGACGATATATTTATTTGAAATGTCGCGTGACGTCACTTCTATGTACATTTTATACGTAGAAATGACGTTTTAGCCCCCACTCTTAAACTTTGATTCGTTTTATCTAAGTATTGTTTTATTATACGACAAAAAAAAATACGTGTCTAATATTTTTTAATTCCCTAACTCACAGATTAATTATACTTTTATTTTCATACCATGTCATCATCCTAAATCCCAATTATAGTAGGGGAGCGTAGTTACTCGAGCGCGTCAGATTAACATATGAGGAAAACTTAGCGTCGTGTTGAATATACCCACCATATACATATATGATTTGATTAAAAGGAGGGATTAAAAAATAAAAACAAAATCTGACTAAAGAAAGTCAGTTTCATCAGATTAAGGGAAGAGAGGCCGATAGCATGCTAATGGAAGTGCGTTTAAAAAAATCTGTCCATTCGAGCTTGATTTGCAAGAGTAGGGGGATTTTGAGAAGAACTCGACTAGTTTCAAGTTCAAGCCATGCTAGACGCTCATATTCATGAGTTCCTCGTGAAACAGTTACGTGGATGAGCCATGACAGTGGGTAATCAATTTAGTACGTCTTACGAGAGTTATAATATAAACAGGCGCCAAGCTGTTGCTTTTCTAAGGATTTCATTATAAGAAAATAAATGTTAGCTCAATATTAAAGCCGTAGAAGTGTAAAATGTAATTGTGTAATAAGAGTCTGCTACATCGATTGCGGCTTGCGGTTATATATTTATATATATTATATATACATAGTTTGCCTACTCTTGCAAGATTGTTCTACGTATTATGTTGTAGGTATGATAACTAATGTAGTTTATTTATTATTTCAGATCGACGCCAGTGGCTGGCGATATTAATCCTGGTAGGCCTTCTAATGATAATACTAATATTATTCGTTATAATTTGAAGCAAGTTTCAAGTAATTTTTGTTTCAATAAATGTTAAATCATGTTTGTAGCTAAGTGATATATTCTTATATGATAACGTCATAGTATCTATAATCTGTCTATACTATCACTTTGTAGATATTATCAATTAGAATTGTAACTGAATTGTTCATTTAAGTTTAATTTACATTTTGTTAGCTAGCTAGTTAAATGTTTGAATGTTTTGCTTGAACACCGTCTTCCGTTCAATTTTGATGTATAGGATATGTTTAAAAACCTTGTCTTATCTGAAAGGCGCCAAATAGAAAATTATATATAGGTAAAAATATCGACATTGCAACATGTACTAGGCATTTAAAACACCACAATTAAGAAGATGTCTATATAATATTCTTACGTTCACAGATAGGAAAGGGATATTGTAACGTTTAGATATTTTCAACGTATTAGACATATTCAGCAGCACTCCTGTTTGCTCCTTTTATAAGGTATTACGATGTTCATATTCTCAAATGTCGCGTGAATAGTTTTCTTATTGTATAAGGTAACAGCTGAAACATTGCTTAGCTTAAGAAAGATTGTGCTAGACAATGTCTAGCAGTCTATGTAGATAATAAAAGTACCCTGGCTTGGTGAGCATTAACTTAGACGTTAGTTAATACTGTAACTAGTGTGATACGGCTTACTAAATATTTTTAATTGATGTTAATATTGTTAATGTATGTTCCATGGTACCGCGCACTCATCAGAAGCCTCGTTGTTGTTTCCCTCGCTATTATAGTCGCTAGTGTCGTCCACGACTGGACAAGCTTCCCCACAGTAGCCACGATTGTTCTATGTCACATAGTGCCATTATTGAACAGGTGACCAGTAGCAGATCATTTGTCCAACTACTAAATTAGCCTACGACTAAGTTTAGCAGCGTAGCGAGTCTTTATTAAGCTAAGTTTAGTATAGGCAAACTCAGGTCTAAAATTCTCACGGTTATTTGGACAATAAGGGTTATTTACGAACTGATACGAACCCTATATTTATTAATCCGATAGAATTCCAAAGATTAGCATAGGTACTACGATAACTACTACCTCGGTAAGATTTTAATTGGCAAGGGAAACTCAATTTGCTACCAAACGTCGAAAGGTTTATTTGAAAGTTATTTTGAAGCAGGTACATCTTTTGGCCGGACTTCACCAAAACGGAGATGTAAAGTTGCATGTGTTTTTATCTTTACGACGACAGTCCCTGGGAGGATCTAGCGGAACTGCCCTGTATATCGCTGAGACACATCTCCGCTTTTATTGCGCCAAATATCTCAGCTCTGTGGTTTCCAGTTCCACTGAAGCCATGTGAAAAGGGTGGGAGATGTGAATAACGAAATTTTATTGGTTGTTTCATCTCCGCTTTGGTGGAGGCTGTGCCTTAGAATGGGAAAAGAAGTTAGGTCACGAATGCATGCCTTACACATACGTTTAGGTTTGGTGCCAGTGTTCGCCTTAAGAATTGTTGCAAGCCTCTCAGTGTCGGTCGCATGGCTCGCATGCTTCAGCCTGGGGCAACGCAATTACAGCACATGCCTCGCAGTCTCACTATACTAGGTAATTTAGGATAGATGCAATTGTATAGATTAATGGTTGTCTTTACGAAGTAAAACATTTCTGATACAATTCTAATATTAAAACCGAGTGACTCCAAGTATGTACCTAAAATAACACAAGGAATAGAAAGAAAACATTTAAAGATTATATTTTATTACATTGGATAGTATTTAGGATGGATCCAGTTCTTTACTGATTGTTACTTTTAGCTGAGCGCATATATTATATATTTTATTATATATTATACAATAAATAGCAATAACCAAAAGAGATATATAGAATTATAGTCAGCGTCACATTTTTATGTAGATTGTTAAGAACAGTGAAGTAATAATTTTGCAATAACATTATAATAATTACGCCCTTATGTATTTTATCAAACCAGCAAAAAATGTGTAATGAGATGTGAAGATTACAAGATTATTAATAAGTACAATACACGGCAATAATAATAATGATTAAGATTTGAAATAACTTCCACATTGCCTTCTTGAAATGTTGTAAAGTATGGGTAAATACATACAAAGATGGGAACATGTATGGTTTGATAAATGCCTAAATAGTTATATACCTATTATAATATATTTATACACGGCTATTACACACACAGCAATATATTACAATATATTAGAGATGATTAGAGTTGTACCTACTTTTAGTACCTAACAGATTATTCATTAGTTTATATTTAGGTTCACAATTATTGTATATTTTCTACATTCCTTTGTGTATTTAGTGTACTGTTGCAATACAAGTATTTAGTTAAGGAAAACGTGTTACAGAAGTCTGTGAATGTCTAAAATAGTTATGGGTAATTTGAAGTACATATTGCCATCTCGGCTTATAAAAACAAAACAAAACGATAATACATGAAATTATGATATTACTTTTACACGTCAATCTTTGAATTACTAGATAAGGGCCAGTATTTCCTGACTACTCTGTGATTGTGAAGACACGCCGATACAAAATCAGAGTATTGTTTTATATACATACCAATGCCTGATATATCTATTTACATATATAAAAATGAAACCCGTTTCCCGTTGTCACGCCATAACTTGAGACCGGCTAGACCGATTTGGCTGATTTTTTGTTGTGTTTATTATTGCCAGGAGAAGGTTCTTATAACAGAAAAAGGTACTAAAAATTGTACGGGAACGAGAGAAAACGGGATTGCGCGTACGAAGTCGCGGGTAGAAGCTAGTAATATAATATAATATATGTTCATAGACATCTGTAATGCCTGTATTGTTGTAATAATTATTGTATATTGTGTTGATATTATTGCTTCCTATGTACTGTCTAGTTTAATTATACTTATAATTATTTATGTTTATTATAATAATTATAATTATTATAAAGATGAATATTTGTATGTCTTGGTTTTATTTCTTCTACCTGTACTGGTGAATGTCATAAGTTACTCCTGTAATACTTGGGACTAATAACGTAACTTTTACGATAGTATATACAATTTTACACGGCTATCTAACATCCCGGGGACTTTTCTTCTCCTTAATATCTTCTGATTCTCTTCGTTGCGGGAACCACGACAGTTACTCATGTCCCTAGGACGCGCCGGACTTCAGTGTTCCGGTGTTTTCATGGTTGTATGTACTGTAGATCCTGGCTTACAGGAGTTGTAGCGGTTTTGGTAGGATGTGGCAGACTTGTCCAAAAAAAAAAATCCCGGGGATTTATTAACCTGTGAAATGTCGGAACTCAGATGATACGAGGCATAATGTGGTTTCTATTGTGTCTCATATTGACAGACAAGAGGTTAAAGGATACGATGGGATATTACTACTTGTACTACTGTGTGACCGAAAATAGCAATAATTGTATCATTTTTTTTATGGTATAAGCCGGTAAACGAGCAGATGGATCACCTGTTGGTAAGCAATCGGCGCCGCCCATGGACATTTGGAACACCAGAGGCGTTACACAAGTGCGTGTTTGGCCTTTTGAGGATCAGGAATTTGGGTATTGTTGGGGATTCAGGGATTGCGGAGATTGGGGAAGTAGGGAGGGATGGGCCTCCAGTAACCTCACTCACACGAGGAAACATTTATTTCACGTCGATTTTCTGTGAGGCCGTGGAGTCACTCCGGTCGAGCCGGCCCATTTGTGCCGAAGCATGGCTCTCCTCCACTTAAAATCTGAGTTTCAGATACACTATGCCCTCCAAAATAAGAAACTACAGGATTCTGTAGACTTTAAAATATTTAAAGAACTTGGCTGCGATTATTTTTTAGATGTTCTCTTCAAGTGCCAATCCCTTTCGCAATGCAATTGATACCCGAATTTTATTGTCATTTGTAATTGTAAAAACCAAAACATTTAACAAATACATCGTCTTTTAGCAGTACTCGCTTTTATGATGCCTCAAGGTCTCATTAACCCCTGTCTGTTATTACGATACAGCGCCATCTCTGAATATAGAATGTAACTAGCTACTTGAAATGTGGTTCATGGGGCGACATTCACAAACTAGGTACTACCCAGTATGTTGTAGTGTTTAAGTTTATCTAGTAAAAGATGGTTCTGCACGTATCAGTTGTAATTTGGAGATTTTTCCTATTTTAACCTTTACGTTTTGATCTTCGAATATCTGTTACGCCTATTCATTCATTGTCATAGATGTCTTTTCTGAATTTCCGTAATTATTATTAAAACAAATAAACTATCTCCCATTTGGTAAGGTCTAGTAATTCATATAACCATGGAGTTTGGGATTATATTTCAGAGACAGTATCTAACCACTTTATTACAATAAAAAGCAAAACACGCGTTTTAATGTAAAATATTGCCACAACTATATGGTCATGACAATCAAAAAGTTATTAGATTTCATGTAGAAACATTTTACTAAGTCCGTAGCGCTTAGCGTGTAATCCGTACCACGTAGCGCGTAGTTCGTAAAAGTCACGCGTAGTTCGTAGCGCGTACGCGTAGTCCGTAGCCTGCTGCCGGTATCGGGTTGCCTGTAGCACTTAGCACATATCCTGTAATGCACAGCTCGTACCGCAAAGCTCTTAGGTCATAGCTCGTAGTGCATAGTTCGTAGCGTGGACCTCATAGCTCGTAGTGCATAGTTCGTAGCGTGGATCTCGTAGCAAGTAGCTGGTGGCGTGTAGTTTTCCCGCTAATAATAATCTCATAGGCGTTCTAACCGCGAATTTAACTGGCGTTACAGAGTTACCAACTATACCTTACCCATATTTGGCCATTTTTTACTAGAAAATAGAAAACATTGATTACGTTTTTATTTCAAGCCTATTTGATGAATATAATACAACTCTTTCCGTGCGACTTATTCATTCAGTTCATTTCACGGTATGCATGTCGTGTCTACGGGCATAATAGCGGGAAAATATTGCTGCGCGCTACGAACTACGCGATACGATGTTACGGCTGTTACATTTAGGTTGTGTAAAATTAGGCCTTAATGATTTATAAACTATAACTGTTACTTTTATGAAACGAAGAACCATTATTTTATTTTATTACAAACATATATTGACGCATCCGTTACCTTATTTATCTATGAACATAGTATTATTTAGAGCTCGTCTGTAGATGCGCTGGAGCTGGTGATTCTGTCGTATATCTCCGGGACGTAATCGTATGTGTTTTCTTTGAAGTCCTCATACAATTGCTTTTTCATTGTGGCCCAGTTCGGCTTATCTTCCATCACAAATAGACTTGAATGGAAATAAATAAACATGGAATTAAAACATTAATCCGTTACAAATTATACTAGTATTTAGTTTAACAACGTATTGAGCAACTTATAATTAGAAATTATAAGCCCAGGTTTCCTCACAATATTTTCCTTTACCGTTCGAAAGTACATGCAACTCTGAAAATGTCACATTGGTATTTGCCATTGGTAGGTTACGAACACGTACCCTCATGCATGAGAAGCGGGCGTCTTAAACCTCCGGGCCACCACGACGTATCAATACAAATAAGTCTAATTATCTAACCAGTCCCTGGTACATAATTAGGCATTTTAAGTGGGTATTAGTCTGTACATAGTAGATTTGAGTATAGGAGACTGAAAAATAGGTACGTATATATGAACTCCAAACTCCAACTATATAACGTTCATATGCGTCTACCGCACGAATTTGGCTACATGCTATAAATAAATGTGTGAATAAGTCAGGCATAGGTATATTTGTAGGTGCAGTCTGTCGGTACTGGTCAGGTGGCCGGTCGAACTCGCCATACTGTTTCTGTAGGTACCTAGACAAATGTAGTACAGATAGTACACACCGGCGCGGTTTTATTCATTCTTCTCACAGATTGAAAAACGTGACTCAGATGAATAAAATATTTCGTTATTCGTTTCTGGTTTCACCTGTGCAAATAAAAGCTTCAAATTGGCATTCGTTAGTATTGCTATTATTATTTCAACAGGAATTTTCTTTTAGTATATTCAATGCGATCACGTTCGTACTTCGAAACAGATACATTCAAAAATTCTTTCGTTGTGAATTGTCAATTAGTAAAATTATTGTTTAATTTTTGTAGATACAGTGTGAACAACATCAACGTATGGTAGATTTACGGAAATATGTTAAATTAATTAATTGGCTTCGTCTTTTTGACACCAGACAATACTAACTCCCCAATCATCTTAATACTAACTTGTTGGTCAGCGTCAAATGTATTATGTGTGTATAATACAGTCGTTGGTATTATTAAGTATCCGTTTATTATATAATGATATGTGCAGGTACATAGACTAGACACTTATGTATGTGTCTATTTATATGATATGTATACTATCGCATAGGAATAGTCGACCTCGGAATAATGCAATAAAATCAGCTCTGATAACCATCACCTTTGATGTTTGACCAAGTATAGATAAGTTTTACACATAAATAAGGCGCAGTTATCGAATAATGACTTACCTGCTAACGCAATCCATAAATTCCTTGAGGTAATTACTTGAGAATAGGTGAATGACGTTACTGAATCCTGTACAGTTGGTCCACTGGGCATCTGGAGCCATCATCATGCCCACCCCTCTACCCCGACAGACAAGAGGTGCGCCGTACATTCCCTGAACATAATAAAACCTCATTATATCTTGCAAAATTATAATTAGGTCGTTCCGTTATCTATTTCTGATATTGGTTGCTATTTGTAGGATCAGAGGACCAGTTTACTTAATAAGTTTATGTTATTATGCTATTGATAACAAAACTTAATATTATTAATCTGCAATCTTTCGCTCGCGGCTTCGTCTGGTGTTATGTAGATTAAGTCGTCTCAAAAGGATCCAATATAAAATGTCCGTTTTTAAAAAGAACCCTCGTACGACGTACTTACAACTATCGACTCAGTTATTTAAGAAAATAACTACTATATGTTACACGTCTATGTCAATCATCATTCATAACTAATCTCCTCTACAACAGTGAGGTTTGTCTCATCTCCACGTTTCCCAAGCATATTGCAGATATTTTAAGTGTAGGAAATCCATGCTTCGGTACGAAAGGGCCGATTCGACTGGAGTGATACCACGTCCTCACAGAAAACCGACGTGAAACAACGCTGGCGTTGTATTTTATCGTGTCACTCATACCGGTTACCGGAAGCCCGATTACACCCCGTCTTTCCCCAATCTCCCCAACAATCCTCAAATTCCTAATTCCCAAAAGGCCGATAACGCACGCACGTTGTAACGCCTCTGGTGTTCCAGGTGTCCATGGGCAACGCCGATTGCTTACCATCAGATGATCCGTCTACTCGTTTCCCGGTTTAAAAAGATAAGATGCCCCGGCCTAATAAATATGTAGTCGCTTATAGTTAGAGAGATGACGACCAAAATTTTTGTCTCATAGCAATACGGCCAAAACCGCCTCAAATCGATAGATACGATTATCCTGAACTCGAAAATACCAATATCAGACATTTTCCGCGTAGCGTTTTATCTGACCACAAAAACACCAGACAAAAAAAAATGTCTCATAGCAATACGTCTGAAAACCTATTTTATTAGTAAATTTTGGTTATTTGATGCGAACAAAACAATTTTCAGACGAAAATGTGAACGCATTAAATATTGAGACCGTTTTGAAAATGTTAACAAATTTTACCGATCGGTATCATGGCAATATGTCTGAAAATTGTTGGACATGATAAAATAAGTTGTCCACATGTGCAAAAAATGTATATCAGACAAAATAAGTGTAGCACCTTGTCTATCAGACAACTTTTCGATACTCAGATATTTTTGACACAGCAGAAATGGCCTCCCACGCAGTTGCTACACTTTCGACCGTTACTACACACCTAGTCGGGTTCAGAATCATACAATCTAACGATTTTTTTTATAGGGTTTTTGCCGTATTGCTATGAGACATGGTTTTGGTCGTCATCTCTCGTACTATTAATAGACTTACGAAATCCGTATGAGCAGAGGTGGCAAATGCAAGGTTGGTGCGGTGGCTGGGCAACCGGCTGCCGCGCAACGTGCCGCGGAATCGATTCCCGCACGGAACAACTCTTAGTATGATCCACAAATTGTTGTTCCGGGTCTGGGTGTCATATGTATGTGAACTGTATGTTTGTAAACGCGCCCACGACACAGGAGAAAATAATGTGGGACAACGTTATAAAAAATGTATTCTATTTTGCCGTCTAACCAGCATAGTTATATCTATGTAACTATAATTATACAGTATTTATAAACAAAAGTCACTCACATGACACGGCTGCGCTAATCGGTCAGGCTGAAAGATAAAATATGAGTACGTTTTTAAAATAGATTCTCGAGTACATTCACTCGTAGATGTAATAGGTATATTTATTTAAACTGCTTCGTTGGCCGAGTGGTCCCAAGTGCGACTGCTGGATAAGGGGTCTCGGGTTCTATTCTTGAGTAGGGGTTATACAAGGTAATACTGGGTTTTTTAAAAAATCTCAGTAGTACCACAGTATGGCAATAGGCTCCCCTATTAAATGGGAGTCATAACATAAATAGTGAAAAGTGTTACATTGGACAGTGGTGTTAAGTGCTGTAATGTGCACCTCTGCCTACTAATGTGGATAAAAGGTCTGATGTTAGGTATTTTTAATTTTATACATAATGACCCATTTCTCACGCTTTGAGATAATTTTTATCATTATCGGATTAACTATGTTCATATATACTTACCTCTTCCGTCATCGAACATTGTTTAGATTAGTCTAAAACTAACCTTTTGTTCATTATTATTATTATAAGTGAATGCCTGCCATTGCTACTAAATGTATTACTTATCGTGTTTACGACTTGCGACTGACAGCAAGTTCATTTTATAAATAGCTTTTACCTAATTACGGTGAACTTACCTATTTACATAACGTCACGCCTGTCTCCTATTACATTTTGTGTTTAATCGCAAAGCCTATGAAACGTTTCACGGAAGCAATATTTTATACAATCGAGAAAATCGGAACGTAAAATCTTTCTACTGCTTAGTTGGCCCAGTGGTCGCAAGTGCGGCTGCTGGGCAAGGGCTCTCGGGTTTTATTCCTGGGTCGGGCAAAGTATTACTGAGTTTTTATAGTAGTAGCACGGAGTTTGGAATTGTGCCCTGTATCCATATACCATCCATAGGCTTACTCTATATTACATAAGACTCATAACATAAATGGTGAATAGTGGGTGTTACATTGTGGCGTTAAGTGCCGTAATGTGCCTCTGCCTACTATGTATTAAAGGTTTGCAAAATGTGGATATTAAACAGAAATTCTGTCGTAGGTATAGTAAACATGAAAATACTTTCTTACATCTCTTACGCAGATACAGGCGCCTTTGTCGAACATACCCAGGAATCCCAAGTTACTCAGAGCTTTCTGGAATTTTATGGTCAATGCTTCACACCACAGGGTCTTCTTCACTATGTTCAGGAATTGAACCCGCACGTTTCTTTGCAGAAGAAATTTGTGGACAGGGTAGATCTTATCCTAAAATGGAAAATATGTTAGTTCTCTGGAAAATTGGTAATCTCTGTTATTTTATGTTATGGTTTTATTAATGATAGTATTCTTATTAAAATGACAAGTATCCCAGTTTTAGTCGGGTTCACATTACTTTAACCCATTCGAGAGAGATAAAATAAAACTGAAAGCATAGCTGAGAATGTAGGTGCATGTTACAACATTGTGACATTTTAAGCGACTTTATTTCCATTCAGAATGCATAAAGTTATAACGTAGGAAGTTAGTACGTTTGCAGCAAAAAGTTAGAGCTGCTTTTGTATTGTGCACGGAGCACGGCTCGACGTGGTGGGCTCAAAGGCGCAACTTGACATGATTCGAACTTCCGACTCCACACGTTCGTAACTTTAGTTAAAAGCTTTAAACACATTTTAAACCGTCAGCAGTGACACAGGATCTCCCAAATAATGAGGGCTGAGAACATCCTTTGTCCCTCTCTTTGCTGAGAAAATAAAAAGAAACGACACATGTGCGCAGCAAATGTTAAATTAAATAAAAACATGTGCATCCAGTTGGTATAGGGAAGTTGTTTGTTACAATCTTTGGTATATGCTTCGCTAAAGTTTTTCCTTTGTGGACAGTACTGGCGCATCATGTTGAATCCTTTTTTTCCACTAAGTTTCTCATGATGCATTTTATTAAAACGATTACACGAATACCTCATGGAACAAATATTCTTCGATCGCCACCATCCAATGATAAACCTACGAGACGTTACTTGCATAGTGTATACGAAAATAGATATTATACAATACCCCCTTATAGAAGAAATGCCAACCGGGCATGAGACATTCTTCCTGCAGACTCAACACCTCTTCGCCCTTATAATCTATGTCAAGGGGTCTCAATGGTATTTCCGTTAGCACGTCAGGAACTTTTCGCTTAAGAAGCAGCAATGCTACCGATTTTGACATCAAATAACCCCTGTTATTTGAAGCGAGTTTTGAAACTGTGAACAAGTTTAACATCGTGAAAAATATTAGTATTATAAATAAATAAGTATGTATGTATAGTGGAATGTGTGATATCTTTTTGGAGATTTGTTGTATTATTATATCGTATTTAAAAGAAAAATAATAATGTGATAATAATACGCGTCTAATATTTTTTCATTATCTAACTGACGGACGTTTTCGATTTTTAATTTTAATACTCTGGCAACTACCCTATTATAATATGTAGTGGTAGTAGTTGAAAATTAGTATTAAGTCGGGCTTGTAACTAATTGTG